ATGCGGACACAGATAGATAACGAGAATGCTAGGGCTTCTTCCATAGACGACGCGCAGCCAGGTCGCCGTGTGGCTGTGACAAGTGGGCTACGGCTACCGTATCAGGAGCGGATACGGCTAAAGAAGCTAGCCCAAAGAAGGGCCAAGAACCAACAGAGGAGTAGAGACCTGACACTGGCAACACTGAATGTGGGGTCAATGACGGGCAAGGGAAGAGAGGTTGTCGACTTTATGGAGAGAAGAAACATCAACATCCTGTTTCTGCAAGAGACGAAGTGGAAAGGGAAAAAGGCGAGAGAACTTGGAGAAGGCTACAAGCTTTTCTACAATGGTGAAAACAGTAAGGAAAATGGCATAGGCATTGTGTTGGACCCAAAGTTAAAAGAGGGAGTAAAGGATTTCAGAGAGGTTGATGGCCATGGAGGTGGTGATAGAGGGCCAGACCGTAAATGTTAAGTGCTTATGCACCACAGACAGGATGTAAAGCCCAGGAGAAAGAGGATTTCTGGAGGCTGCACAGTGACTACCTTCATATAGTTAGATCGAGTGAGCTACTGTGGCTTGGAGGAGATCTCAATGGCCACGTGGGGACAGACATCAGAGGGATGGAAGACCACATGGGAAAACATGGCTATGGAGACATGAATGAACAAGGGGAGCAGATCAGGAGCGCAGCAGAAGCCGCGGACTTGGCCATTATCGACACCTACTTCTCGAAACCAAATTCACAGAAATCACTTACTCCAGTGGAGGGAGAAAATCACAGATTGATTTCATTTTGACCAGAAGGAAAAACTTGAAGGATATCAAGGACTGCAAGGTACTGCCGGAGGAAGCAGTCGCCACCCAGCACAGACCACATGTCTGTAAGCTTAGACTAGCAGCGTAGAGGCAGGTACCGCAGTATAGAGGAGAAAGGAAGATCAGGTGGTGGAAATTGAAAAAATTGAAATGTAGAGACGAGTTTATGAATAAAGTTTTGAAGGAAGTTGATGGCAAAAAAGTGACATGGAATGCATTGAACGAGGTGATGAGGACAGTTTCGAAGGATGTACTCCGGGTAACATCAGGGAAACCACCCAAGGCAGACAAAGACGCATGGTGGTGGACTGAGGAAGTGTAAGAGATGTAAGAGAGAGGTGGCGAAAGCAAAAGACATGGCATACAGGGAACTATATGCGATGCTGGACAGCAAGGAGGGATAATCAATGGCCATACGGATAGCAAAGAGATGGGACAAGAACTCGGTGGATGTGAGGCAGATCAAGGTGATTAAGGATGAGGATGGCCGGACCCTCACTGATGATGCGGAGATTAACCCATTCGTGCCGGGTAAAAATGAACAAAAAATGGGAGAAATGCTGTGTTAATTTTTCATATTTTTTTAATGAAGTTTCTCTACACTAGATGGCTCTGCTTTACCGGATTTCATTTGGCGGGAAAATGTATTTTTACTAGTGCTATGAATATCGATGGTTATTTTTATTATAAACAATATAATTACTCTAATGTTATAAACATTAGTAACAGGAAAATAAGATAACGCAAAATAATTTCGTAAATTAAAGAAAAGGGTAAACAGACGAGACAGGCAGTACAAGTGCAAGTGGAGCCATCTATGTTTTTAAACAATCAAACAAGTAAACTCAAAGTGGGCCCGTCACGTATAAGTGACGCCCGGCGCAAATGGGTTAAGGAGTGATGGAGGGCATACTTCAGGAAACTGATAAATGAGGAAAATCCCAGACAAGAAAGAGTAGTACCTCCGGGAAATGAGGGGATAGTACGCAGAGTCACTTGGGGTGAGGTGCGGAAGGTAATAAAGCAGATGAAGAATGGAAAAGCAACTGGGCCAGATGGTCTACCAGTAGAGGCATGGAAATGCTTCGGCAAGTGGGCTATAGGGTGGCTACAGGCGATCTTCAACTCTGTGCTAGAAACGAGAAGGATGCCGGACGACTGGAGAAGCAGTATCATCATACCCATTTGTAAGAACAAGGGAAACGTACAGGACTGTGGTAACTATCACGGCATCAAGCTCACCTCACATACCCTAAAGATCTGGGAGCGAGTGATAGACGTGAGGCTGAGGACAATGGTGCATGTCGGAGAAGAGCAGTTTGACTTCATGCCAAACAGGAGCACCACAGACGCCATCTTCATTTTGAGGCAGATAATAGAGAAACACAGGGAAAGACAGGAGAACCTGCACTGCACCTTCATAGATCTTGAGAAGGCGTACAATCGGGTGCCTAGGGAAGAACTGTGGGCGTGCATGAGAGAGGCGAAGATCCCTGAAAGCTATGTGAGAGTGGTGCAAGACATGTATAAATGGTGCACTACGAGAGTCAGAACTGCATGTGGAGAGACAGAAGAGTTTAAGGTGACAGTGCGATTACAGGTTCAGCAATCAGCCCATTCCTTTTCCTGATCATCCTGGAGTGTCTGACTAGGGACATCAGAAGAGGAGCACCATGAGATATGTTGTTCGCTGACGATG